TTTTCTGGTTGGAGCGCCTGGGCAGGGCTGCCTTTTTTTTTTTTCCATTTATTTTTATTAGTTGGAGGCTAATTACTTTACATCATTGCAGTGGTTTTTGTCATACATTGAAATGAATTAGCCATGGATTTACATGTATTCCCCATCCCAGTCCCCCCTCCCACCTCCCTCTCCGCCCTATCCCTCTGGGTCTTCCCAGTGCACCAAGTCCGAGCACTTGTCTCATGCACCCAACCTGGGCTGGTGATCTGTTTCACCCTAGATAATATACATGTTTCGATGCTGTTCTCTTGAAACATCCCACCCTCGCCTCCTCCCACAGAGTCCACAAGTCTGTTCTATACATCTGAGTCTCTTTTTCTGTTTTGCATATAGGGTTATCATTACCATCTTTCTAAATTCCATATGTATGTGTTAGTATACTGTAATGGTCTTTATCTTTCTGGCTTACTTCGCTCTGTATAATGGGCTCCAGTTTCATCCATCTCATTAGAGCTGATTCAAATGAATTCTTTTTAATGGCTGAGTAATATTCCATGGTGTATATGTACCACAGCTTCCTCATCCATTCGTCTGCTGATGGGCATCTAGGTTGCTTCCATGCCCTGCCTATTATAAACAGTGCTGCGATGAACATTGGGGTGCACGTGTCTCTTTCAGATCTGGTTTCCTCGGTGTGTATGCCTAGAAATGGGATTGCTGGGTCATATGGCAGTTCTATTTCCAGCTTTTTAAGGAGTCTCCACACTGTTCTCCATAGTGGCTGTACTAGTTTGCATTCCCACCAACAGTGTAAGAGGGTTCCCTTTTCTCTGCATGTAAGTTAAATAAGCAGGGTGACAACATACAGCCTTGACGTGCTCCTTTCCCGATTTGGAGCCCGTCTGCTGTTCCACGTCCAGTTCTGACTGTTGCTTCTTGACCTGCATACATGTTTCTCAGGGGGCAGGTCAGCTGGTCGGTATATCCACCTCTTGAAGAATTTTCCACAGTTTGTTGTGATCCACACAGTCAAAGGCTTTGGCATAGTCAGTAAAGCAGAAGTAGATGTTTTCCTGGAACTCTCTAGCTTTTTTGATGACCCAACAAATGTTGGCAATTTGATCTCTGGTTCCTCTGTGGACTGTGTCAGTCACTCAGTTGGGTCTGACTCTTTGCGACCCCATGAACTGTAGCCCGCCAGTCTCCTCTCTCCATACAGCTCTCCAGGCAAGAATGCTGGAGTGGATTGCCATTCTCTTCTCCAGAGGAACTTTCCAACCTAGGGATCGAATCTTGGTCTCCTGCCTTGTAGGCAGATTCACTACGGTTTGAGCTACAGGGAAGTCTCTAAAAACTCTCTGAGGAGGAAGTGTCTGGTGCCTGTGCCTTTTCTAAATCCAGCCTGTTCTGTTCAAGTACTGTTGAAACCTGGCATGGAGAATTTTGAGCATTACTCTACTAGTGTGTGAGACGAATACAATTGTCCGGTAGTTTGAACATTCTTTGGCATTGCCTTTCTTTGGGATTAGAATGAAAGACCTTTTCCAGTCCTGTGGCCACTGCTGAGTTTTCCAAATGTGCTGGCATATTGAGTGCGGCACTTTCATAGCATCATCTTTCAGGATTTGAAATAGCTCAACTGGAATTCCATCACCTCCACTAGCTTTGTTCGTAGTGATGCTTCCTAAGGCCCACTTGACTTCACACTCCAGGATGTCTGGCTCTAGGTGAGTGGTCACACCATGGAGATTATCTGGGTCGTGAAGATCTTTTTTGTACAGCTCTTCTGTGTATTCTTGCCACCTCTTCCTAATATCTTCTGCTTCTGTTAGGTCCCTACCAATTCTATCATTTCAAAATGATGAAGGGATCAACTCACCAGAAGTGCAGAACAAGTTTAAACATTATGCACTGGAAATAGAAATTCTAAATGCATGAAGTAAAAACTGACAGAACTGTGAGGAAAACTACAAAAATTCAAAATCAAGGCTGGAGATTTGAATACCCCTCCCTCAATAACTGATGGAATAATGTCTTCGTTTGGGTTGCATTAAGTTAGCTGTTGCTGCTGCTCTTTACTCCAACTCTCTGCGACCACGTGGACTGCAGCCCGCCAGGCTCCTCTGTCCATGAGATTCTCCGGGCAAGAACACTGTAGTGGGTTGCCGCTTCCTTCTCTAGGGGATCTGCCTGACCCAGGGATTGAACCTTGACTTCTTGACCACTGAGCCACCTGGGAAACCCAAATTAGTGCAGGTTTATTGGCAACACAAATGTGCGTCTCACATTTCTGGAGGCCGGAAGTCAGATCAGGGGCCCAGCACGATCTGACTCTGGGGAAGGCCCTCTTGTGGGTTGCAGATGGCTGTCTTTTCATTGCGTTCTCTCAAGGCAGAGAATACAGCGCACTCAAGCACGCTCTCTGTCTTCTCGTCACCAACCCCATCGTGGGGGCTCCACCCACATGACCTCATCGCCCCCCAGAGCCCCTCCTCTGAGTACCTTCCCATGAATTTCAGAGCCATCAAGCACTCAGTTCACAGGGAATAAATAGGGAAACTGGACTCTCATATACTTTGGAGATGCAGGAGTTATAACTGTGTATTGATTTAAACACGATTCTGTTTCCCAGTGATAAGTATGAAGTTCTTTTTTTGCCGTCCCATAGCAATACTGAATGTCAATAGTTAAGGACATAATTTTAACCTAGACATGTTATTTTATGGGAAATGAACAGCTCCATTCCCCACAGTGTTAAGAATTAGCAAATTACTACATTTTCATTTTATAATTTCCAGTTCGTTTAAGACAGATCTGTGAGAGGTACACTGGACTATGAGTGTAATAAAATACAAAGCATTTACCTCACACCATTTCCCATAATAATTTATGTTCTGAAAAGTGACAAGAGCTCTCAGTCAGGCAGGATGCGAAAGTAGCTGTGTTGGAGTTTCTATTCGAGGCAATCCTCTTTTACTACCGCACACCTTCCGAGGTTGCCAAAGCTGGGTAATGCCGGTTTCTGTGCTAGCGAAAGAATTACTATTTCAGAATTGGATGTCTCCTTGTAAACAGTGCTCACCAACGGCAAACCAGCATTTATATCTCACTTTAAAGAGAAAAATTACCTCTGGGAACTGGACCAATATTGACATTCTTATTAATATATTGCCTATATGCAAAATCATTTTTTAAAACCTTATCAACGTCAGTTGTGTATTTGAAGCCACTGTTATGACTACAGGATGCAGAACGTGATGGGAATAGCTGGAATATAAATGTGATCTTGTTTATGATTTATAGGTTTTTATGAACATATTTTCTTTTAGTTTCTTGTAACTGTAAGCTGCTATTGTAGAAACAGATATATGATAGATATAAACCTATATCAAATATACAACCTATATTTGAGGAATATAAGCATGCTAGTCACACTCATGGTAAACGCTCATGCTGAATTTGCATTAGTATTTTAAAAGGCACTTTTTATTTTATGCGTGCAGAGTTTGATAGTCAGTCAGTCATGTCTTACTCTTTGCTACTCCATGAACTGTAGCCTGCCAGGCTCCTCTACCCATGGAATTTTCCAGGCAAGAATACTGGAGTGGGTCGCCATTCCCTTCTCCAGGGGATCTTCCTGATTGAAGGATCAAACTTGGGTCTCCTGCATTGCAGGTGGGTTCTCCACTGTCTGAAGCACCAGGGAGCTTAAAAGCTAGTTACCAGAGCTAACTTTCGGTAGGTTAGGTCTCTTCTACTGTGGATAACCAACAAGGATCTACTGTACTGCACAGAGAACTCTGCTCAATGTCATGTGGCAGCCTGGATGGGAGGGGAGTTTGGGGGAGAGTGGACACGTGTGTTTGTGTGAGTGAGTCCATTTCCTGTATGCCTGAAACTATCACAACATTGTTAACGATCACAATGGTTAACAACACAAAATAAAATGTTAAAAAAAAGAGAGAAATGGAATGGTTTCACATATTATACAAACAATAAACATAGAAATGAGTAATAGTCCTCACAGTCCATATCTATGTCTTGGTTTCAATATATAAAAGGACAAGAAAACAATTAGGTGATAAAATATTTATTTTCCTTTGAATTCATACTCATTCTTACTAGTCTACATTATTTTTAAAACTGTTGTTGAATTGCTTTGGTAAATTCTATGATGTTGTAAATGACTTTTATAAGAAATTAAATCTGGCTTGGGATTCGTTCTCCTCACATTATATAGAGAAAGTGTCTCCAGTTCCACGTCATTACAGAGTAAATCAGCTCATTTCATTGATCCTATCTTGAAATTAAAAAAAATGTATCTCAAATAACAGAAATACATGAGACATAAATGAAAATCAAGACAGTATCTCAGAGTCATTATTTAATCCTTTCCTGAACGTGCACTGATATAATGTCATTTAATATGAAACTTATATTCCAAAAAAAAAAAGAAATTTATATTCCATGCAGACATCCCTAGATCTTCTATTTTTCATATACATATGTAGCATAGAATTTATGTAAATATATTTGATAATTAATAATTAATATAATTATAATCTCACTGGAATAAACAGTTACTGAGTGTTATAAACAAGACCTCTACTATTATCCGCCTGCTACTATATACTATTATGTGTCTGTACAGATGTTTACAAGCTCATCTGTACATATATATATATTTGTATATGCAGGTACCCATATATATATATATATATATGTATATCACATTAACTCTGGAATTAATATCGAACATGGCCCTCATAGCAAAATGTGTACAGTGAAATATGTTTACACAGCCAACCATAAACAAAATTTTGGGGAGTGGTCAGGGCAGCTTTCTATTCTGTCCTGAAAACTGCAACAGAGCGCAGTTGCCTGGAGTCGGCTTTTCCTTGCCGGGGGTGGCCGTCCCAGGCTTAAGTTAGGTATTTCGGAGATTTCAGGAGAATCTCAGGGGCTCTCGAATACCAGAGCCGGAAGGACCGTCAGGGCCTCTGCGTCTTTAAACAGGGTCACTCATCTGCTCGGGTGACAACTGCCACAGTCCTCGCGATGGCCTTTGTTCGGGTCGGCCGGCTCACGGGGAATGCCCGCTCCAGGTCGCAGCCCCGGGCCAGCGCGCGGGAGCCCCGCGACCGGGCCGCCACCCCCGCGTTCCCGTCCCGCTGCCCCGCTTCTGGCAGAGTCCGGACGCAGAAGTTTGAAGAGTGAGCCCGGTTCTTAGATTGGCCCGCGAGGCGGGAGGCGGGAGAAGCCGGAGGGGGGACCCGAGGCGCAGCGAGAGCAGAGAGGCGCGGTCCCGGCGCGCGAGCGCGTGGGAAGGAGGCGGCGGCCGGCCCGGACGGAGGCGGGCCCCGCAGCGCCCTGGCTGCCTGAGCGGCGCCCGGGAGCCCGAGCGCTAACCGCGGAAGCCGGGCCCCGGCCGCCCAGCCCGCACCGCCGGCCGGGACGCGAGCGGCGTTCACCAGCCCCGGGTGCGCCCGGCGCGCCCGCCCCGAGCGCGCCACGGCCCCGGGGAAGCACAGGGCAGCGGCGTGCCGCGCACCCTCGCGGGACGCACTAGGAGTCGACTCCCGGGGTCCCGGCTGCGGGGCACCCTTCTCCAGCAGGTAGGGGCGGCGGCGGGCGCCGGGCGCGGTCCCCAGCGCGGGGCGCTTTGGCCGGGCAGCCTCGCCTCCGGGCCCGGAGGCTCGGCGGGGCGACCCCAGGAGGGTGTGGGCTGCTGGCACCTGCCTCGCCGGGTCCCCTTCCCCAGCTAGAGTCCCAGGGTGGAGACGGGGGCGGGCGTGGAGAGGGGGCTGGCGATCTCCTTTCCGGAAGGGGACGCGGGCTGAGAGCTGAAACCCTCCGAACTCTGGAGCAGCCCGGAGGAGACGACAGGCTGCCGGTTGAGAGGGGCTGGAAGCCTCTGGTTACCACGGGAGACCGGAGGAGCGGCGCGGGGGGCCCTCCGCGGCCACTCCTGGGGGGGCGGCGGGGAGGGGGTTCGGCCTCTTTTTTTCTTTGGGGATGCAAGAGGGCGACGACTTCAGAGAACAAAGATATAGGGGTGAAGGAAGCCCCCAGGCCGTCGCGTCTTCCACCCATCTACTGACCCTTGACCGCGACCCCCCGCGGGACAATGTCGCTCCATTGTCTCAGGGGTCCGGCCACTACGGGGTGGGCCACGTCGGCGGGGGGCGCGGTCCCCACCCCGAGCTCTTCATTCTGGCCTCCCGCTCCCCCCCCACCCACCTCAGCCAGCCCCCGCCCCATCTTTCCTGGCTGGGGGAAACCGAGGAGGTCTGTGAAAGTGTTGGGTTAAATGGTCCCTTGTAGGCCCACCCCCCGAAAGGTAAGGGAGGTGATTGCCATCAAGTTCTGTTAGCATTTCTGCCGTTTATGGAAAAGCTGTAGTTACTCTCGGGGGGCTCTGACCTCCAGTTTTGGGGGGGTGGGTAGGAGCCAAAGGCATTTCAAATTGTGTGTTAAGCGTTCGCCACTGGGAAGAATTCCTAAGCCATTGGAGGAGGAGGGGTTGTCTTCTGCTCGCGGGGCCGAGAAAACTTAGCTGCTGTGAATTGGCCGAAGCAGTCCGAGGACAGGAAGGGGGGCGCGCCGGGCGGTCTTTATCCTGCTAAGTGCAGAGCTCCGGAAGCGCTCATCCTCCGAGAGGGGGCTTTCTTGGGGGATCTCGTAAGGGTGGCTGGAATTTCTGCTCAGGTGAAGGTTAAAATGTCTCGAACGTTTGCTTTTTTTTGGGGGGGGGAGGCGTTATTTATGAATCCCCTACAGACTGCATGGATTTCCTAGTGATTCAGAACAAGAGACTCCAGGGTTGTCCCTGAGATCCTGAAACGAAAACCGTGGGACTGGGAGGAGGAGAGGGGAGCCACACCCCCACCTGGGCCCGCTAGCAGCCTCTTTATGGGGTTACTGCTTAGCTGCCAGGGTGGGTTACATTTTTCTCTGGGTACGTCTAAAGGCTTTGAAGGTGATTTGTCATCCTTGGGTTAAGGGTCCTCCTGAACGTATCTATTTGTCTGTGTGACGCTGTTTAGTTTATTAAAATTACACAAGCATGTGTGACACGTACTTGACTGCCAGGGTGCCTAATCATGTGTGATCAACCTGTGTGTGCTTATGAGGTTATAGCTGATGGGATTTGGGAGACCGGAGTATATGCCATCGCTTTACAGACTGATACGCCCCAGGGATATAGTGCTTGCTATAAAGAATCATTCCAAGTGTGATGTTTATTTATTAAAGGAAAAATAAGTTTAATCAGTACAGTTTTATCTAAAGGGCATAATGGTATGGTTGAGCTTATCTATGTCCTGTCAAGGGAATGAAATGGTTTTAGTACACAGTAAAATAGTTGAAGTGTTTTTTAAACTATAATTTTACAATGTTGTGTTAGTTTCAGGTGTATAGCCACAGTGATGCAGTTTAATATATATATAACTATATGTATGTATAACTATATAACTCTATATATTGTGTGCTATACACTATAGTATGTAGAGTCACAGAATCACTGTGCTATACACCTAAAACTAAAAATATATAACTGAATATATATTGTTATATATATAACTGAATACATATGTATGTGTTGTTTTTCAGAGTCTTTCCCCTCATATGTTTTACTACAGAATATTGAGTTGTAGCTCCCTGTGCTGTCCAGTAGGTCCTCGCAGTTTATCTGTTTTGTGTATAGTAGTTAGTATATTTTAATCTGAAATAGCTAGTTTATTTTGCACAAGCAATGAATCCTTTAAAGATTTGTTTCTTCTGACCTGAGGACGCTTGAAGATAACAGCTCCAGTAGCTACTGGGACGGGCCATTAATGTAATCTATGGCTAAATTAGTGCTCCTTCATATAAAGAGAATGTCCACTGAATATAAACCTGCAGAGCATGAATGCTCCTGAGGGAGACTGAATAAAAATAGAAGCGTTTCCTCCTATTCAAGAAATCAGGAAAGTAAATCTGTTGAGTAAAACCATAACTCGTATAACGCCTATGTGATCCTATATTGTATATACTTATGTGTGTACATACCTATCTGTATATATGTGACTTGCAGATCATTGCATTTATTACAACATTTGCATGGGTGAGAAAAGACATTGCCGTGGAACTGGGGTATTTGAATGTGGTGTTTCTTTGAATTTGAGCATGTGCTTAGCTGAGGACTGCAGGAGTATATCTGCCTCTTTGAGGTCTTATCATCGGGGCACATCTTGGCCAATGACGGCGTATTTTATAGAATGAGAAAAGGCTGGGTGAGAAGGAACTTGTCAGATAAACTACTCAAGCCCCAGTTCTGCAAATGAAGAACAGGAGGCCCAGAGTACTTGGGTCACTTTGGTCAAGATCCCAGAACTCGATCTTGGCAGGGTTATCGGGCTTTGCTCTTCCTGCCTACAGGAGTGTCCGCCAGGTGGGAAGAAGGGGGTCTGTAGGTGGTCAGTCTTCCATCCGTGCTCTCTCCCCTCCCCTCACTCCTTTCCTGGGTGGTCCTCCTTTCTGCCCACCCTCCTTCTGGCCCAAGTCTGCCCACAGGCCACCTTTCCCGGATGTTCCGTCCTTCCCTGGACCTTCCGCACCATCACGTGTCTGCCCTGGGGTCCCTAATCTTGGGTGGCCTCTGTGATTCCTGGCTTTTCTCTCCCACCCCAATGAAGTGGGAAGCACCATCCACGGTCTCCTCATTTCTCTGCCCCTCCCTTCCCCTTCCAGTACTTCCCATCAGCCCCCAAGTCTTTACAATTCTACCTTATAGGTACTGCTGAGATTTATCTTCTCTGTTCTGACCTTTTATGACTTTTAGCCAGGGCTTCATCACCCCCGGCCCAGGATAAGGGATCAGTTTCTAATTGATCTTCCAGCTCTAGCCTGTTCCCTCACATCCAGTCTAATAGACGCAAGGGTGATTTATCATAAATGTGGATTTGACCCTGAGGCCTTCTGCTGAAAAGCTCTCAGTGAATCCCTTCGCCCACGGCGTCCAGCACGGGCTGCTTCCCATGACCTGTGTTGTCCTTCCTGACTTCATCCTGCCCACCCTCCAACCTCCTCCCGGCTCTCTTGACTCCCGTCTTCTGCCTGGACCACCCCGAGCTGCGTGTGCCCCTCCACGGGGAACTTAGCATCCCTTAACCCACAGACTTGATTGGTGCTCCTTTGAGCTGGGAAGGTGCTTCTTCTGTCTTTGCTCAGGGCTGGGGTCAAATCCAGAATGTCTTCCCCAAGAAACTCTCCCCAGGCATGTCCAGCTTTCTGACCTCCCCTTACTGCAGGCGCAGGTAATGTTAATATCATTGGAAGAACCTTTGCATTCAAGTTCATCACTAAAGCGATGTTGCTTTTAAGCTTAAATTCTATGCAATGGCCCATCTTTGGGGACCCTACCTCCCAGGTGACATTGTTCAGTTGCTCAGTCGTGTCTGACTCTTGGTGACCCCATGGACTGCAGCATGCCAGACTCCCCTGTCCATCACTATCTCCCAGACTTGGTTCAAACACCCAGGTAATGAGCCTTAAGCAGAAGTACCTTTGTTTAGCTCACAGGAGACTTCCTGACCTGGCCCACCTGTGGACGGAGGCAGTAAAGAAGAAATAAACAGGGTCCGCCCCCCTCCTTTTGGAGGCTGGCCAGCAGCAGGTGATGTTTGATGGTAAACCTCACCCCTTTTAGTATAAAAGAAACCTGAATTCTAACTCAGGCAAGATGGGTCTTCCAGATAGGGGGTCACCATCTTCATAGGCTGACTTGCTGAATAAAGTCTCTGTTCTTTTCCCAACAACTCCATCTATTGAGCTAATCCTTTGGCCGCCTGATGCAAAGAGCTGATTCATTTGAAAAGACCCTGATGCTGGGAAAGATTGAAGGTAGGAGGGGAAGGGGACGACAGAGGATGAGATGGCTAGATGGCATCACCAACTCGATGGACATGGGTTTGGGTGGACTCCAGGAGTTGGTGATGGACAGGGAGGCCTGGTGTGCTGCGGTTCATGGGGTCGCAAAGAGTCGGACATGACTGAGTGACTGAACTGAACTGAACATGGGGTGAGCAATATGAGGTCGGTTGTGTCCGGATCTTTGTGACCCCATGGACTATACTCTGCCAGTCTTTGTCCATGGGATTTTCCAGGCAAGAATACTGGAGTGAGTTGCCATTTCCTCCTCCAGGGGATCGAACCCATGTTTCCGGTTGAATATCAGACTTACAGCTGTGCTGAGGTGAATACTTTATTCATCTTTGTGTAGGTGTCCAGATTTCATAGATATTACATGGACGGATGCAAGCATTGCAGGTGGCAGAAGGCAAGCTGCCTACAAATGCCGCTTCGAGCTTCTGGCTTCCACAGCTCCCAAGCTCTGACCAAGTGGAAGCTCCACTCACTTTTTAATGTAGCTCTCCTCTCTCCCATCACCGCACATCCTACCCAGAGACCCATAGGTCTGTCTGTCTCTTCCCTCCCGTGAAAATCATCTGCTCATTTATAGATAAATCAGAAAAGAAAACCCAGGGAGACTTGAGTAATTTGTTCAAAGTTGTATCACTAGCTTATGGGAGATAAAGTCTCATAGAAGTTATCATTCAGCGAAAATCCAAGTTCTTTTTTCTTCAGAGAGAGAGAAAAAAAAAGCCTCTTTAATAGGTGCCTTATAGGAAACCATCACAGCTAGGGGCAGCAAACTATAGTCTGAGGGCCAGATGTAACTTGAGTCCTATTTGTATACAGCCTGCGAACTAGACATGCTGTTTATATTTTAAAGGATAGTACAAACAAATAAGCAAAAAACAATAAACAACAAAAGAGGTGTGACCCACTGAGACCCCGTGGTCCTTGCAGCCTAAAATATTCCATCTTGCCCTTTGCAGAAAAATTTTGCAGTCCCAGAGGAACAATGGGACTGGAGGTGTAACTAGTATAATTTATGTGGAAACTGACTTTGGTAAATAATTTTAATACTGGGAAAAACTAGACACATTAAAATAAGTTGATTAACTGAATTTTAGGAAGAAAAAAGAAATCAAGGCATAACTCATACCTCATTCAAATGGCTGAGGTCCTGTGTTTATTTTTTTTCAGTTTTTGATGCTTCTCACTTACCTATGAGTAATTACCATGATAGAGATCACTACTATTAAGTAATGTAAGTTAAATCAGCTAAAGTCCTCACAAGAATCACTGTGGGCAGATTTGGTTAAAAAATATGATTGTGGGTACGGATAAGGTGAGTTTGATATTCAAATTCTTAT